ATGGTGGCGCGTGCCTGTAATCCCAGTTACTCAGGAAGCTGAGGCAGGAGAATTGCCTGAACCCAGGAGGCGGAGGTTGCGGTGAGCCGAGATCGCGCCATTGCACTCCAGCCTGGGTAACGAGTGAAACTCTGTCCCAAAAAAAAAAAATAAATAAAAATAAAAAACAATTTTTTTAAGGTTTATTTTTAGAGCAGGGTGCTGGCCCTGCTGCCCACTGGCTATGTGAGTTTCAGTTTCCTAGTCTGTAAATCGGGGATGATAGGACCCACTTCACGCTGCTGTCCTGAGTTTTTACGGGATCATACGCATGGAGCACGGCACTTCGGCACATAATCAGAAACCTCTAAATGCTATCTGTGATTATTATTTTGTCTGTGAGAAGTTATTCAGCTGCAGAAAATTGAGAGGTCTTGCAGCCATAAAAAAAGAATGAGTTCATGCGCAGGGACATGGATGAAACTGGAAACCGTCATTCTTAGCAAACTGACACAAGAACAGAAAACCAAACACTGCATGTTCTCACTTGTAAGTGGGTGTTGAACAATGAGAACACAGACACAGGGAGGGTAACATCACACACCAGGGACTAGGGGGTCAGGGGCTAGGGGAGGAATAGCAGGGGGTGGAGGGATTGGGGAGGGATAGCATTAGGAGAAATACCTAATGGAGATGATAGGGTGATGGATGCAGCAAACCACTACCATGGCACGTGTATACCTATGTAACAAACCTGTACAATCTGCACATGTACCCCAGAACCTAAACTATAATAAAGTAAAAAGAAAGAAAATCGAGAGGCCTGAGACTGCTGGTCTGATGGGTTTTATTGCGTATGGCCCGTGATCAGAATGATTTGTTTGTGTGTCTGTCCTACTTGCTAACCAGGGCGTCCATCCAAAATTCCTGTTCGCATCTCACACCGAACAAGCCCAGGAGTCTCAGGCCCAGAGTAGCAGCTCCTTAACCCCCACCGTGAACCAAGCCAATGATCTTACCCGGCTAGGATGGCGCCAAGAGCAGCGATAAACCACTCCGCAGAGTTAAACCCCAGGATGCCAACTCCATGGAAACGCTTCAAGCCCAGCTGAGAAGGAAAAAACAAATAGAAAAACAAAACATAAACACGGAGACCTCAGATCATGAGGACATGTGACGATAGAGTCAAATGTAGTCACGTGGAGGCCGGGCGCAGTGGCTCACGCCTGTTATCCCAGTACCTGGGGAGGTTGAGGTGGCAGAATTGCTTGAGGCCAGAAGTTCGACACCAGTGTGGACAGCAAAGTGAGACCCCCCTGTCTTTACAAAGAAGTAGAAAAGTTTGCAGGGCATGGTGATGCCCACCTGTCGTCCTGGACACTTGGGAGTCAGGGGCAGGAGGAGCTCTTGAGCCCTAGAGTTCGAGGCTGCAGTGAGCTATGATTACACCACCGCACTCTGTCCTGGGCAACAGAGAGGGACCCTGTTTCAAAACTCAACAAAACAAAAATAGCCACACGGGGTGGGAGGCAGTGTTGAGCCTAAACTGGGGTGTAATATTTTTAATTTTTGTGACTATGGGAGATTTGTTTACCTTCCTCTACATAACACACCATGTATAATTTTTATTTTTATGTTTTGCATTATTTTTATTTATTGTGCTAAAATACACATAACATGGAATTTACCATTTTCGCCTTTTTTTTTTTTTTTTGACAAAGACTTGCTCTGTTGCCCAGGCTGGAGTGCAATGGCTCGAACTTGGCTCACTGCAACCTCCACCTCCCAGGTTCAAGTGATTCTCCTGCCTCAGCCTCCTGAGTAGTTAGGATTACGGGCACCCACCACCATGCTCGGCTAATTTTTGTATTTTTAGTAGAGACAGCATTTCACCATGTTGGCCAGGCTGGTCTCAAACTCCTGACCTCAATCAGTCCTCCGTACCTCGACCTCCCAAAGTGCTCACGCCTATAATCCACCACACCCAGCCCGTTGTCACCATGTTTAAGAGTGCAGTTCAGTGACACTAAGCACATTCACATGGTTGTACAAGCATCTCCACCATTCATCTCCAGAACTTCCTCCTCTTCCTAAACTGAAACTCTGTTCATAAAAAACACACTGTCAGCCAGGTGAAGTGGCTCACACCCATCATTCCAGCACTTTGGGAGGCTGAGGTGGGTGGATCACAAGGACACGAGATCGAGACCATCCCGGCTAACATGGCAACCCCCGTGTCTACTAAAAATACAAAAAATTAGCTGAGCATGGTGGCACGTGCCTGTAGTCTCAGCTACTCAGAAAGCTGAAGCAGAAGAATCACTTGAACTGGGGAGGCAGAGGTTGCAGTGAGCCAAGACTGCACCACTGCACTGCAGCCTGGGTGACAGAGCAAGGCTCTGTCTCAACAACAACAACAACAACAACAACAAAACACTCCCTATCCCCTTCCTCAGCCCCTGGCACCTCCCATTCTACTTTCTGTCTCTCTGAATCTAATGACTCTAAGGACCTCCTAGGAGTGAAATCACACAGGATTTGTCCTTTTGTGTCTGGCTTACTTCACTGAGTGTGATGTCCTCAGGGTTCATCCATATTGTAGCGTGTGTCAGAATTTCCTTCCTTTTTGTGGCTGAATCAGTTTCCCTCCAATGGGTGGACTACATGGCGTTCATCCATTCTTCCACTGATGGATACACGGGTTGCTCCCACCCTCTGGCTCTTGTGAATAACGCTGCTATGAACCTGAGTCTACAAATAACTCTTCATGTCCCTGGCTTTCATTTTGTTGTTGTTGTTGTTAAAACCCAGAAGCAGGATTGCTGAATCATACAGTAATTCTCTGTTTACATTTTTTTTAAAGAAACTGCTAGGCCGTTTTCCACAGTGGCAGCACCATTTGACATTCCCACCAGCATTGCTCAAGGAGTCCAGCTTTTCCATATCCTCCTCAACACGTGTGTGTTTTGCTGTTTTTTAAATCGTAGCTATCTTGAAGGGTGTGAATTTATTTTTATTTTTAATGAAAGTACTCAAGGAGTGATATCAGATAGTCGTGATAAGTTGCACAGGTAGGTTGGGCGCGGTGGCTCATGCCTGTAATCCCAGCACTTTGGGAGGCCAAGGCGGGCAGATCACCTGAGGTCAGGAGTTCTAGACCAGCTTGGGCAACATGGCAAAGCCCCATCTATTAGCCGGGCGTTGTGGCAGGCACCTGTAATCCCAGCTACTCAGGAGGCTGAGGCAGGAGAATCTTGAACCTGCGAGGCAGAGGTTGCAGTGAGACGAGATGGCGCCACTGCATTCCAGCCTGGGCGGCAGAGCGAGACGCTGTCTCAAAAAAAAAGAAAAAAAGTTGCTGGAGTGTAATGGCATGATCTCAGCTCACTGTAACCTCCCCCTCCCTGGTTCAAGTGACTCTCCTGCCTCAGCCTTCAGAGTAGCTGGGATTACAGGTGTGTGATGGCACACCTGGCTAATTTTTTGTTTGTTTGTTTGTTTCTTTGTTTTGAGACAGAGTCTAGCTCTGTCACCCAGGCTGGAATGCAGTGGCTCAATCTCAGCTCGCTGCAACCTCCACCTCCCGGGTTCAAGCGATTCTCCCTGCCTCAGCCTCCCAAGTAGCTGGGGTTACAGGCACCCACCCCTACACCCAGCTATTTTTTTGTATTTTTTAGTAGAGACAGGGTTTCGCCATGTTGGCCAGGCTGGTGGGGAACTCCTGACCTTGGGTGATCCACCCATCTCAGCCTCTCAAAGTGCTGGGATTACAGGTGTGAGCCACCACACCTGGCCAAATTTTTGTATTTTTAGTATAGATGGGGTTTCACCATGTAGTCCAGGCTGGCCTGGAACTCCTGACCTCAGGTGATCCACTCGCCTTGGCCTCTCAAAGTGCTGGGATTATAGGCATAAGCCACCATGCTCGGCCAGGTCTCCAAGGTTTAGGGGAGGAGGGGGACCTTTAACTGCATGGAACTAAGAACATGGCTAAAGGAGACAATCTCTCAGGAGAGATGAACTAGCTATACAGTGACATGGCGTGAGGGTGGGGCCACCAAGAAGAAACCCAGCCCAAGCACATGGTTCTCTTTTTTTTCTTTAAGACATGGTCTTACTCTGTTGTCCAGGCTGGAGTGCAGTGGTGCAATCACTTGTCACTACAGCCTCGACCTCTCAGGCTCAAGTGATCCTCCCACCTCACCCTCCTGATAGCTGAGACTACAGGCACGTGCCACCGCACCTGGTTAATTTTTGTACTTTTTGTAGAGACTGGGGTCTCACTATGTTGCCCAGGCTGGTCTTGAACTCCTGGGCTCAGTGATCCTCCTGCCTCAGTCTCCCAAAGCACTAGGATTATAGATATGAGCCACTGTCCCCAGCCTTGTTCCCTCTTTCTTTTGCATCATTTATTGTAGGGGGGACTGGTAACCATGCTGTGAGGACACTGAAGCAATTCTGTGAAGGCCATGGAATGAGGAACTGAGACTTCCTGCCAATAACCAACCATCTAGGTAAGTAAGCTTGGAAGGAAAGCCTCCAGCCCCAGTTGAGCCTTCAGATGAGACAGCCCCAGCTGATAACTTGGCTGCCATCTCATGAGAGATCTGGAACCGGAACCACCCAATTTCAAAGTAGCTCCTAAATTCTCAACCCACAGAAACTGTGAGATGATAAATGTTTGTCATTTCAAGTCACTATGTTTTGGGATCATTTGTTATGCAGCAGTAACTAATACATAGAGATAGTATGTTAAGGGACAAATGAAAGATGGAGAACCATGGATGTGTAAACATTTGCATATATAAAAATCATATTTTTTATATATACATAATTTATTTCCCAAAAAACACACAAAAAATTGGCAATGGTGGCTGTTTCCACGGAGAGGAACTGGGTGGCTGAGGCTCATGAGTCAGAGGGAAATTTTTCACTAGTTAACCTTTGTATCTTTTGGTGCCCTGTGAATTTTGTACCACATGTATGTGTGTGTATTACCTATTCAGAATGAATGGTTGAACAAAGGAGAATGAATGAATGAATCTTACTTTGATCAAAGATTTCGCAGCCTTCCAACAAGCCTTGTAGTACTGGTTGAAATTCAGAATTTCCCATTTTTCACTGTTCTTGAATGCGAGGGCTGGATAAGTTCCAAATCGGTTGACTGACTCTTGAAAAAATTCGGGGATGGTCATCGGGGTCTCATGGCCTGGTCCGTGTTTGGACAGCCTCAGAAGGACTTCTCCATCCTGGCAGGTAGTCCACAGCCTGGGCCTTACTGCAAACAATCACCAGAGTTGGGTGGCAAATGTTTTTATTTCTTTAATAACTTTGGAGGGGTGGGAGTTACTGGTGTCTTTTTGGACCTAAGGTGCTGAGAGTTGAATTAATCCCCTTTTAGGGTGAAGTTATGTGGTGAACAGTGGCAAGTCAAACTTCCTTTCTCTTTATTTTTTCATTCCCCTGCAAATTTTTAATAAGTCAAAATGGATTGTATACCAAACACTCTCTTACCCAACACCTAAATTCTACAACTACAAGCATTTTACTGTTTCTTTTTTTTTTTTTTTTTTGAGACGGAGTTTC